ACCCTGTATCAAAAACAGCATTTTAAATGACCTTGCAGAAGGCTCTGAATCATCCTGGAAGCCCCCAAAAGCGGTCTCCTCATCAAAGGTTGAATTCATGAAAAGAAACACGATGTCACAATCGTCGTTTCTTCTCTTCTACTGACCGACGGTCGACAAACCTCGGCTAACTACGTAGTAGTGGGCGTCGATGTCTCACTAGGACAGGGTACTTGTCGGGGAACTACAGCTAACTTCGCCGTAGTAATCCGTCGAGTGGTGAAATGATAAGGTGATCGTCGATGAACTGAGGCTTACTTTGCCGTGGTGCGTCGAACTGCTCGGTGGTAGCTCTCCCTAACTCGATGGTTGTAGCTACTGAATATATCTCTCGCTACTGACAACAATCAAGGATCGCTGAAGAAGTTCAGTGATCTGTAAACTATCTATACTGCTCCTCTCTTCTCATAGAACGTCCCTCAACTCCTGCACAGCCTCGCGCTCAGTCCTCTTCACTCAACTTCGCCGTACCTCGCCATATCCCCGACATCCTACTCTGCTCACTTCTACTAACTTCGCCTAACTTCCCTACTCTGCTCTCCTTCGGTTCCCTTCCTCTAACTTCGCCGTAGTTCTCCGCCAGGCGGGGTTATCGTGACAAATACCCTCTTGGTTCTCGTAACTTCGCTGTAGTCGCTCTCAGTGGTTCGGGTGGTAGTTGGTGATGGTGAAAGGAGGGTCGGTGATGGTGGTTGTCAGGGATGTTACAATGTGGTTTGTGACACAAGAATAAAATATTCATGAAATTTGATCCTTTAATACCTGAAACTCTCCCATACTACCTGGATGAGCTGTGATCTTTCAGGGGGTTCAGAGGGTGTTTCTTAGGCGCCACAATATGCAGATTTTGATTCGAAAATACCTGGTTCAGTCCTGCGGGTTCAGTAGAGGTTTGAGAGGTTCGAATATAGGCTGAATATGCTTAGTAGAGTGGTTTTCCTTCTGGTTCTCTCAGATGAGTCGTCTGCACTGCTGAAAGAGATGAAACCTCTGACCATTAGTGCATACTCCTCATCACTAGTGTGTACTCTTCATCAGTGGCGGGTGTGTATCAATCAGTAGCGTATCTTCCACATTCAAACAGGTGTTTTCACAAGGCTATCCTGACAACCGGTTGACCGGTTGATCCTGTGGTTGACCCGGTGGTTGACCCGGTGATTGATCCTGTGATTGATTCGGTGATTGTGTCATGAATGACACTCTCAAATAATGACTTGTCATAATCACAAGTTCAGACCTCCACTCAGCCTATCAGGCGTAAACTCCAAGACTATCTTTCCTGTGCTCTCCTGCCTGACAGGCAGAAGCTCCAAGTACTTCTCTAGTTTCTCTTTCCTCTGTTCTGATGCCTTGTAAGGCATAATCTCTCAGTCTCTTGTCCTCGCAGCTCTTCTATGTTCTGCGTAGTTCCTCATAGTTCCTCATCGACTGTGACGAACTATGTTGTGACACCTCAATTATTCCACCAACAATGACCCTCCTTTGACCATCAAAACCCCTATTACGTCTTAACCTCTTTACTCTACACATAACTCAGGACCTCTGAGACCAACTACGGCAAAGTACAACGGGAGAATAAGGTATACGGGGGCCTGGAGCATAAGGACAGCAAAGTACGGCAAAGTTAGACAGAGTTAGGCTAAGTAGGGACAAAGGGGAGCAGAAGTACGGCAAAGTTAGATGGAGTTAGCCTAAGTAGGGACGAAGGGAGCAGAAGTACGGAGAATGTCACGGTCCTGTCCTTGACAGACCTCAATGGATCAAAGACAGGTGGACTGCAACTGTTTAGTTAGCTTGGACAACGACGGTTGGTATGTTGTCCGTAGATGTCACGAGGACCAACTAACCAGCATTGGCTCGATATAACAGTGCCCAACGGAACAGTGATGTTAACCTCTGCGACGAAAAGGCCTATTAATCGGCGGTTAACACTACCGCCGATCGCTGGTTAAATACCCTTCCCCGACTTTCGCTCGACTTGTCACACACTTTGTGACAGTAGACTTCTGATGTGGTCGGACGACTAAAGTGACTTGCGAAGGATCCGGGCAGGTCGAGATGACAATATGGGTGTGTGTGATGGTGTGGACAGGGGTAATGATGATGAGGAATGTGTCGGATGTAAGTAGTATGTCAGGAAGAGGTCTTTTGCGAGTGGCAAATAATATTTTGATCCTTGGAAAGAAGAAACTACAAAATAGAAATGTCCTCCTTATATCCTTTTCCAAGGGACTTCTGAAGCGCAAATCATTCGTATGATTTCGGGTGACTTCGTATGAATTCGTGGTCATTTTGTATGAAATCGTGGTCATTTCATATGAAATCAGGTGGATTCGTGTGAAATCGTATGAATTCGGGTGAGTTCATATGAGATCGTATGAATTCGGGTGAGTTCATATGAAATCGTACGAAAAACATGAAAATCCCTGAATCACGGGTCACGACTTTACCGAGTCGTGACAGAGAAGTTAGACGGAGTTAGGCTAAGTAGGGACAATGGAAGCATAAGTGCGGCGATGTTAGGCGGAGTTAGTCGGAGGAGGAGGAGGATGGCCGGGGACTTGGGGAAGTTGGACGAAGTGCGTTGAAGTACGTCAAAGCGCGAGAGGGTTGGGTGAACGTCTAGGAGGAATAGATAATATTAGCTGAGAAGATCACTGAAGTTCTTCAGCGATCCTTGATTGTTGTCAGTAGTGAAAGATAGATAGAGATAGCTACATTTAAATCGAGATACATCGCCATCAGTAAACCAAAACCCTAGTTAGAGTAACTACGTTGAAGTACGCCGAAGTTGCACTCCTTTTGACATCTGCGCCCTCCTGGTTGGGTGAGACATCGACTTTGAAGTGTCAAGTTAGCCGAGGTTTGTCGACCGTTGGTCTATTAGAAAGTGGTTGTTCGACAGCCTTGACACGAAGTTAGGGAGATACAAAGTTAGGAAGAGACGAAGTTAGGGAGACATGAACTTTGTCGAGGACGAAGTTCACAAGGTACGAAGCTCGGGGCTTCGGGTTGAATGAAGTTCTGCGTAGGGGAAGTTAGGAAGGGACGAAGTACTTAAGGGGGTGAAGTTCCCAGAGATCTTTGATGATCTCTGGTTGTTGTCTTAGTAATAGAAGTTAGTAGAGCACAAAGTCATTACACCCAGAAGTTATTGTCACCACTCCATACTACAAAGAACAAGTCTGTTAAGGGTCATAGCCCACGAAGTTATCGGCTGTTGGTCCTGTAAAGTTAACGAAGAATCAACCTTGTGACACTTGCCTACCCATTGGGGATTTGTCACAAACTACGTTGTGACACCTTGATTATTCCACCAACAATGACCCTCCTTTGACCATCAAGCCCCCCATCACGCCTTAACCTCTTTACTCTACACGTAACTCAGGACATCTGTCACGAACTACGTCGTGACACCTCGATTACTCCACCAACAATGACCCTCCTTTGGCCATCAAAACCCCATCACGCCTTAACCTCTTTACTCTACACGTAACTCAGGACTTCTGACACCAAGTACGGCGAAGTTAGACGGAGTTAGGCTAAGTAGGGACAATGGGAGCAGAAGTACGGCGAAGTTAGACGGGGTTAGGCTAAGTAGGGACAATGGGAGCAGAAGTGCGGCGATGTTAGGCGGGGTTAGGCTAATTAGGGACAATGGGAGCAGAAGTGCGGCGATGTTAGGCGGAGTTAGGCTAAGTAGGGACAATGGGAGCAGAAGTGCGGCGATGTTAGGCGGAGTTAGTCGAAGGAGGAAGAGGATGGCCGAGGGCTCGGGGAAGTTGGACGAAGTGCGTTGAAGTACGTCAAAGCGCGAGAGGGTTGGATGAACGTCTAGGAGGAGTAGATAATATTAGCTGAGAAGATCGCTGAAGTTCTTCAGCGATCCTTGATTGTTGTCAGTAGTGAAAGACAGATAGAGATAGCTATAAATCAAGATACATCGCCATCAGTAGAACAAAACCCTAGTTAGAGTAACTACGCCGAAGTACGCCGTAGTTACACCCCTTTCGACGTCTGCGCCCTCCTGGTTGGGTGAGACATCGACTCAGAGCGTGAAGTTAGCCGAGGTTCGTCGACCGTCGGTCTATTAAGAAATAGTTGTTCGACGGCCGTGACAACATCTGAGACCAAGTACGGCGAAGTTAAACGGAGTTAGGCTAGGTAGGGATAATGGGAGCAGAAGTACGGCGAAGTTAGACAGAGTTAGGCTAGGTAGGGACAAAGGGAGGAGAAGTGCGGCGATGTTAGGCGGAGTTAGTCGAAGGAGGAAGAGGATGGCCGGGGACTCGGGGAAGTTGGACGAAGTGCGTTGAAGTACGTCAAAGCGCGAGAGGGTTGGACGAACGTCTAGGAGGAATAGATGATATTAGCTGAGAAGATCACTGAAGTTCTTCAGCGATTCTTGATTGTTGTTAGTAGTGAAAGACAGATAGAGATAGCTATATACCAATCGAGATACATCGCCATCAGTAGAACAAAACCCCAGTTAGAGTAACTACGCTGACACTCCTTTCGACGTCTGCGCCCTCCCGGTTGGGTGAGACATCGACTTAGAAGCGTCAAGTTAGCCGAGGTTCATTGACCGTCGGTCTGTTAGAAAGTAGTTGTTCGACGGCCGTGACAGGATTAGACCCCGCCCGTGACACCCTAGGACATTGTTTGGGTTGTGACACATGAACTCGACCCAAACTGCAGCCAAGTAGTTGTGTTTTTGGTACTACCATTACAAAGCAGGAAGTGTTCTTCAACTGGTCAACCCTGTGTGAGTGACAAGCAGGTTTAAATCAGCAGTGTGGTCCCAAATGTTGGCAAAGTGGTCAACTGACTGCCATGTGCAGCGGCGGCCCAGTCATGCTTACGTCATCAAACCGGGTCGGGGTGTTTTTCTTGGCGGGCTTGGTATGCGGTGCGTTTTCTACCTATCCACTCTATCCACTTTTCTGTCTACTTTTCGTCTTCACTCTACCGGACGACCTATCACATCTTCTTGAGGCATCCGGTGGACACCAGAAGGGGAGGCGTCTGAGTAACCCGGTAGCTCTACTCATAGTCGGTCCGAGCCGAACGCAAGAAGGAACGACGATCCTGCAAGTGACTGATCCGCAACTTATCCACCCTCGAGCTTGGCGGCAAGTGAAGGGCTACAGCTCTTTTTTGATTCAGATCAATACATCCATCATTCTTTGATCTGATCTTGACTGGGTTCACTCTCAGTCTAGTCTAGTCCAGTCCGGACCGAGTCCGGTCGTCGCTCGCGTGACCATCGCGGGGCAGCGTGTGGAAGTCGACATCACAACACTTCTCTCCTTCGGACGCAATCCTTTCATTTCGTATCATACAAACCCCGCTGCCTCGACTTTTCTCAATCCGACTCCGCCTTATTTTTTGACACTGCCTTGGGATGACAAGGTCAAAGACGACTTTACTCTCCCCCCTTCGCTTCCTAAGGTGATCAACGACAGCAAGACGAATCTAGCAAAATGGGGTTTGATCCTTTCGAAGTCAACGCCGCCCATTTGGCATACGCCTTCCTTGGTGCATTTGTCGTCCTCTTTGGCATGTGCTCGTAAGTTCTCTAGTTCTTGCTCAATACATATCTGGCTGATACGAGGAGACTGTTTGTGAAAGAAAAATTGTACATCGGTGAAGCTCCTATCGCGACTTTGGTAGGAATCATCATCGGTCCTCATTGCCTAAAACTATTCAATCCGTATGGCTGGGGAGGTCCTAATGTGGAGACGACAGATGAGATCACTTTGGAGGTTACGAGGGTTGTCATTGCCATCTCTGTCTTCGCAGTCGGTGTTGAATTGCCAAAAGTGAGTTCAGTCTTTCTACTTCATGCCTATCCGTTCTATGAGCCCGGGTCTTGCAATGGAAGTGAGGAAGGAACTCACGACAGGCATACATGGCACGTCATTGGCGTTCTCTCTTCTTCCTCCTCGGCCCATGCATGTTTTGGGGATGGTTCGTCTCCGCCCTCCTCATGTGGGGACTTATCCCAGGTCTCGAACTTCTCTCAGCACTCGTCATCGCTGCTTGTGTAACTCCCACCGATCCCATTCTTGCACAAGCAGTTGTAGGTGGCAAGTTTGCCGACAAACACGTGCCTGCGCATATTCGACACATCTTGTCTGCGGAATCAGGAAGCAACGATGGAGCTGCGTTTCCATTTCTCTTCATCGCCATTTACTTGTTGACCGATGAAAATACTGGAAAGGCGATCGGACGATGGTTTTATACCGTACTGTGAGTCTACGAGGGGTTTCGGGTGTTTCAATTTACAAATGTTGACGAATAGGGCCTATGAGATTCTGCTTGGCACTGTCATCGGATCTCTGTTGGGTTTTGTTGCCAGAAAGGTTATGAAATTTGCGGAGAACAAGCGACTCATCGATAGACAATCCTATGTCGCTCAATATGTTAGCTTGGCAGTCATGTCAATAGGTGAGTACAAGTCGCAATGATATTCATGCTAACGACTAGGAATAACAGTCCTGCTTGGTAGTGATGACCTCCTATCTGCTTTCGCATGTGGTTGTGCGTTCGCATGGGATGGTTTTTTCAACAAAGCTACTGAAGATGCTGTATTTTCAAACGTTATCGATCTACTATTCAACTGTGCCGCTTTCATCTACATCGGTGCTCTCATCCCTTTTGGAGAGTTCAACAGTCCTGATGTTCCTGTAAGTGAGAGGCGATGCATCTTCGGTTGCATTACTGAAAAATCCAGGTCTGGCGGTTGGTCGTTTTGACCATTTTGATCCTGATCCTCCGTCGGTTACCCATCGTGGTAGCTTTATACAAGTTCATTCCGGATATCAAAACGTTTCGGGAGGCTGTTTTCACCGGATGGTTCGGTGCGTTTCTTTCTGTGAGGTTGAGTTCATGCTGACTTGTAGGTCCGATGGGAGTTGGAGCTATCTTCATTTCTACCCTCGCGAACCTGAGTTTGCCAGAAGGTTCAACGGATCAGATCGATTTCCTGAAACGGATCATACGACCCATAGTGGCTTTCCTTGTCTTATCATCTGTCCTTACGCGTGAGTAACTCGCCCTTTATGGTGGGTCCCGGATGGCTGACAAGCATAGACGGCCTGTCTATTCCCTTCTTCTCCCTCGGACGTCGAGTGCATAGTATCACCTACACTTGGTCTCGTCAACCTTCAATGGATGCAGGCAGGGATGAGCCAGCTTGGACGACACATGCTCGACGTATTCTTCCCGGACAGGACATTGTCATTAACCGAGATGATGATGCCGAGGAAGGAGACTTAGGTGTCAGACATAAAGATACGCCCAGTGATGATACTGCTGCTGAGTCGTTACATGGGGATGTGGAAAGTAGAGGGAGTGGTAGCTCCCAAGGGGAATTCATCCAAATGCACGATACCCATCATCAACATCATCCTCACACCGCGCAGAGAGGCGAAGAGGAGGAAGATGTGGAAGTGGACGCTCGGGATGCGGCGGGTGAAGAGAAGATTGATGATCCTACTGGAGCTGGTCGTCGAACTCCTCCTTTGGCGGAATATAGAGAAGGAAACCATCTGGTTGTTGAGAGAAGAGCGGGATCTGGAGTAAGTTTTTCTGTGCACAGAGAGGACCGATCACTGATATGATCAGGGAGAAGTCTCAGTGGAAGTCATACGACACTATTACGATCATCGTCGGCCATCTCAAAGTTCTCGATTCCTTCATCCTCACAGATTGAGAGATAGGGAAAGAGAAAGGTTAAGAACATGGTTACCAAAAGTGGAAGAAGAATGGGAAAAAGCCAAAGATGAAGGTCGGTCAGCAATGGATAAAATACGACAAGCTATATCGCTCGAAAGTGATACGGAATTACCTCATTCTTCTCATTCCTCCCCTGATAGAGGTGATCCAGCAAAAGCTCCAAACGATCCAAGATCTTCTGATGAAGAACGGCATGATATTTTCCCCGAACTTGTTCGACCTGTCTCTCCCGAACAAATGAACCAGGACGAAGAACCCGTTGAAGCAGGTCCAAGTCGAGCTAATCGACCTCCTGTGATACGTGTCAATTCTGGTAAAAAGGGATTACGTCGTTTTTTCGGTCTAGGTCATTCATCACCTTCTTCACATCCTGGGAAAGTTGAGGAAGGTTTGGCACCACCTTCAGATGCCACTCCTGGATTCTTAACTCCACCTAGACTCACAGCCTCTCCGAGACCTATAGGATCATCGGATCTTCCTACACCTGTAGGAGAGGATGGAAGGGAAGGTGTACCGCTCTCACGTACTATCTCAGCGCCGAGGAATACGTCGATAAGGTTTGCACCGGATGCTCAAGGATCGAGTGATACCGCACCGAGTTTTGGAAATTATGGGACGGGAGCACCGGGATTTAAAAGGAATCCAGCTTTGGCTATGTATAGAGCGTCTAGTGTTCAGAGTACGGAAGAACGTTGAAATCTCTTGTCATCTGACTTCATCTGTTTGATTTTGTTTGTGGGTTTTATAGAATTATGCATGATCATGAGCATCTTCCGATGTTGTCGGTTATTGGAAGGGGTTCGAGGGTTGTCGAGTAGAGCGCATGCAATGTTTGGAATAGGAAGCCATAAAAGATGGGTTTGTTCGATTGATCGGCACTTTTCTCCTCTTTGCTTTTCCCTCTTTTCCCCTCCTCGCTGATCGCTGATCTTGGCGGGATGGCTGATACTCCTTTGTGATGACAGTGAATACTGATGATTGCGCTGATGTAGGATCAGCTTCTGACCGTTGGGGGAGGGTGTGGTCGATAGATATACTTCTAACTCATTCTCTTTGTGTCAATCGGTCTGACCGTGTGCGAACACAAAATGGAATCGAATGGAGACATCGTCGTGGTGCCTTCGTTGGAAAGGTCCGTCGACGAAAAGGCAGATATAGATGACAAGCAAACAGGTCCTCTATCGTCTGGGAATGGAAACGAGCAACGAACGTCGGATCAAATACAAGAAATGTCAAATGGAAGACTCATGTTGTTGGCTACGGGTATGGCGGTGGTATGGGCATGCACGGTGGGTCTTCCGTTCTTATCTCTTCATCATCATCCTTTCATTTCCCCGTTGACATATGAATTCCGAAGTCTGCATGTCTCTTGACAACATCCCTATACATAAGAGGCCATAGGGAGAGTGATGATTGGAGGGGATAAGAAGAGTTGAGACTGGATGCAAGTTTTCGACATCTAAGTTTCAGTCCGCCGCCATCCTCGAAACTGCATTCATTCTTCCCACTGTAGGACGTGAATTCTCTCTATCTGATGCCAAAGCACAATGGATAGCAGCTAGTTATATGCTTACTTGGGTGAGTGTCACATTTCTCGACCATCAGCAGGATTTTCCCAAGTTTCACATGTTCCGACTTCCGGCATCATGACATCGAAGGGAGTTGTATCGGACTGATAGGGCTGTTTTCAAGTTATAGCGGGTAGACTATGTGATGTTTATGGTCAAAAAAGGGGTTTATTGATCGGTTGTTTTACATTCATCATTTTTAATGTGTTATCAGCTGTCATGCCTGTGAGTCAGCGGGTGTCCTCTTCGTCTGCATGTACTCCTTGTTCTTGCTTTCCCTCTTCTTTCCGTTCCTCTCCTTCTTCTCTTTTGTTGTCTTCTGTTCCTAATATCTTTTTCTTTCGATACTACGCGACTCGAGAAGCAAGATTGACCCCTCTGTTCAGTTGTATACGTCAAGGCTGCTTACTCTGAGAGAACCTTTCGGTAAGGTCTAAGATGTTAGGGTGCGAGTGTCTAGCTGACATAAAGAACGCCATAGGCCTCATCATACTCCGAGGATTCACAGGACTCAGTTCAGCATTACTATTACCCTCTTCAGCTGGATTGATAGGGATCTTGTATCCGAAAGGAAGGAAGAGGACTTTTGCATTTACGGTGATTACTACTGGTATGTCCCTTTCACAACTCTCCTTCATATACGGAATGCTATTAACTCATGATGTGTGTCTCTCTTTCCTGTGAAATACTACTGTGCTGTGTTGTGGCCCTTCTTCTCGTGTGAAATGTCATGGTGTTTGATGAGAAACCTCATGCTCACATGTGAATTACTTCGCTGATATCTAGGTGGAGCGGCCGGAGCGGCCGGAGGTGAACTCTTCGGTGGAATTTTCATACAATACACTCGGTGAGCAATTTGTTTAATCATCTTCTCTGTAATTTTGAAGTATTTTGACGGCGTCCAATCTGCTGATCACAGTTGGACCTGGAGAGCATGTTTCATGTCTCTGGCAGCGGTCACCATCTATCCTCTTATATTAGGTTGGTGGTTGATCCCCGCCGACCCACCAATAACGTCAAAACTGTCGGTCGATTGGTTGGGTGCCATCTCCCTTGGATCTGGTTTATTGTTGATACTTCTTGGATTGACAATATCGGAAACTAGTTCAAAACGATGGAGCACGCCCTGTGAGTGAGAATCTAATATCGAACTTTCCTTCATTGTTCCCAATCGTTTTAGATCGGTCAGAATGAGGACAATGAGCGCTAATAGTAGACTTGCCTGCTTTGTTGATTGGCGGCGTTATACTCTTAGGGTTCTTCATCTGGCGACAGAGGTACTTGATGAGATGTTCAAGACGAGAAGAGAACAATAAACCACCGCCTTTGATACCCTCTTCTTTGATACTGAAAGACGCGAGGAACGTCTTGATGATTTATCTGGCTTCGGCTTGCACTTGGGCCTATACGGACGTGAGTGAGACGTTTTCCACCTGGCTCTGTCAACCGATGTGGTGCCCGGTGCTATATTTCATTGGCAGGGAGATGAGTGGTTGGATCAGAGGCCAAGCTGGGTATACAGGGTACCGACATGGGCCCCCGTCAGAAGATCTGGGGATCAGACGGTTTTCCTTGTCGGTATTTGGCAAAGAGGAAGAGAAAGCTGACGAGACAGTCCTTCTTTGTATTCGTTTCATACCTTTATTTCGACGTATTAAAGCTTAAACCTTTCGACGCGGGGTTGAAATTGAGCGTGACGTTTTTCAGTGGATCCATGGCTGCGGTGAGTTGTTAGATCTCCTTCACGTCAGATAACTCATCTTTTTTTGCATCACTTTAACGCTCTGAAGTCAGAGGATATTAGCAGATGAACTTCTGATATCGTACGCAATATGGCAAATCCATAGGTGTGAGATTATGTAACTAAGAGATTAGTTGGTCGTGGCTCTGAGTATATCACACGTTCCTCCAAGAGTTTTGATGACTTTTGGACGTACACTCTCTCTGTGAGTCCTTTATCTCCATCATACTCAACTGTCGACTTTCTTACCTATCTCGCATGTTTTATACGCCCCTCGGGTCCCGCATCGGATTCACCAGCATGTTTCACAATCCCGTTTCCAAGATAAGCAGCCTGTGTGTTCAGATATAAAGTAACGATTCTAGAGTTTAAGCTGAAATATACACAACAGAATCTCCCCCATCCTCTTCGGTATAAGGAAATTAGATTGGAAGTTTTGGCAATGTGATCTGTGGGCGTTTCTCTTTGCTGCATATGGGACAGATGCGTGAGTCATAGTATTTGATCATCCCATTTGTTCGTGTTGTCGTCATTACAACCCCACTTCCCCTCTCCCTCACTTAGGTCTCTCGTTCAGGGTGATGAATCTGAACCAGCTCAATCATCTCATCTCTCTGTCCCGGGATGAATGGTTTTACACCAACATATTCATCCTCACATATGTGGGAAGGACTTATGTCATGTGTGGAGTTGTCAAGACTAATCAAGTAGGACAATAGCTGCTGGATCATCTATAATCTCTCATACAGCTTCAGAGGATGATCAAAGTGTAGCCGCTGGTTAGTTTTCCCTTTCCCTTCTCTCACTTTTCTCTCTTTCACAACGATGGCTATCAAAAGGGGACCATTGAACTAGACTGGTCGTTCCCCTCAAAGAATATCACTCTTTACCAAGGACCTCAAGTTAACCTCCAACAGGGCTTTTCCAAACTTCCTGTAGACTTGGTTTCGCAATCGGTCTCGCTATATGTACTTTGGTAAGAGATACAGTCCAACGTCAACATTCTTCACAAAATATATCCTCGTCCGAAGATGAAGCAAACCTCAAAGGTCTCAGAGCGGCATTTTGGACATGTTCCGGTTTTTTAGTGTTGGGTGAGTTTCTAAATTGGTTTTTTGGCGTCTTTCTGTTTTGACGTCTTCTTATTTTGAAAATGAATCTCATGCTATCCTTTCCTGTCCCCTTGATCATGTATCACTCCTTCGGGGGAGGGGGAAAGATAAAGTGACATGATAACATACCTCCACAGGGAAATTGGGGAAATATGACATTTCATCTTGCCCTCTCGGATGAGTCCAAATCTCACTTAACGTGTAAATACCCAGTATCAAGGTTGATCCTGAGATATTCAAGTAGTCAGAGGATTATGGGATTGATATAGAAGTGAGACCAGAGCTGATACCAGCTATTTTGTCAGTCGGATTCGGTATGAAAGGTTGGGAAATGCTTGATAAACCTTCATCTCAATTGTCTTCCATCATGGAGGAAGGAACGAATTTGAAGTTGGAGAAAGATAAGGGAGCTCAAGTTGAAGAGTCACTCGTGTAGTCTTTCACGACGCACTTGACGAGAGATAGCAAGATTCGTAGAGTACGGAGCTGATGTGGTTCCTTGACTGACGGGGTTTTGCAGGACCACCGAATGAGAGTAAGAGGAGAGGAAGCATGAGAAGACGACACGGGGACGGGAAATCATGAGAAAAGTATACCAAGAGCATCAAAAGACAGGTAGAGATGTGTGCATATATGATGTTATTTCTTACAACCGATATTTGATTTCACAGATGATTTGACTCCTCTATAACCCAAGCTGCACTTCCCTTGCCGAGATATCCCACTCGCCGTCATCCTCTTGACCACCCTAAACCCTACTTCGGCCAGATGAGAGTCGACCCATGGTTCACCATGGCTCGGTATACATACACCTCTAACTCCTAGTCGACAGAGTGCTGGTTATGATTGAAGACTCTGAAATGTCGAGGGTGGCCTGAATATTCGAAGATCCCATTTTGTTGGCCAGATGGACCACATGGAGTTTGAGCAGGGCCAGATGAAGCGGAAGAAGCGAGTGGGTGGGACAGAGTGTTGTCAAAGACGAGAAGTCGACAGAAGAGGTAGATAGAAACAGAGAAAGTCCAAATGAGGAAAGATTAGATGAGATAAAGGAAGAGTAGGATGGGAACATTTGAAACACAAAGAGAATAGGCGGATAGATGAAATCACAGAGACTCTCTACTCTCCATAGCCCTCGACACCTCACTGACCGGCCCTTCTTCCGCACCTTCTTCCTTGGCAACATCCACAATTTCATCTTCTTGTTTACTCGAAGCGGCTTTTTCAATACTGGCCGAAGCGAGTGAAACACGGGGTGAATGACGCAAGTTTGCAGGGTTTGTCTTACGTAGAGGTCGGAGTAATCGACGACGGGCTACCATGACGGGTACAGATGATTTTTGGACTAGGTAGTGTGAAGTAGATCCGAGGAGGATACTGCGGGTTAACGTGGGTTCGAGGGTAATGAGCGTCCGAGTCGCAGTATAAAGGGAGAAAGTGAACCTGGCACTGAAGTGATGGAATGATGGTACGAAGGCAATCGAAAGATAGCAAGGACGAGTGAGAACGAGAAACATTACCCACCCCTTGATCTCTCCCAAACCTCTCGAACCCACAATCACCATGGTAGGTTCCAAAAAGTCGACCAGGTCCAATAACATATGTCTCGCGTTCTTCGCGTGGAGGTATTGACAAGTGACGGTGATTTGGAGTCGGGTTCGGGAGAGGAGGCTGTTGACTTGACGAACGAGGATTTGTACGCCTCCTTGACGCTAGATGTCAGCGGGGGATACAGGGTTGCGGACGGGCTACGGGATACGGGTATCGTGATAATGAGATGATGGGATCATAGCGGTGGATAGACCCTGTGGAGGATTACATTGAGTGAGAGATACAGTGAACGGGAGGTGATTAGGTGGAGTTTGGTTGATGGAGATTAAGATGGGTGCGAGACGCGGTGAAGTAGAGGTATCACGAGGCGATGAGGAGTAGAAATGTGATGAGTGCGACATGTTAAGACCAGAGGCACTGGGGCGATCTGGAGAGACATGACAGCCCATCGACTCAGTGAGGAGGTAAATGCGGTACTGGGAGACTGGTGAATGGATGATACAGGAAGACAATAACGACTACGCACCTCTTTCTGCACACGAAGCTTCTGTACACGATCCGCATTATTCCATGATTTCGGATCGACTGGGGTTTCAGCAAGTCTTTCCGTGCCAGATAAACATAACGAGCATGAGCGCTAACATCCCAAGTACTGCCCATCTCTCGGAGTAAGAAAGTCGTCGAGGAAACAGATGACTCATCGGAAAGTCTGAGTATAGACCCAAATGAAGGAAGAAGTGGAAAGCGATGAGATAGCTACGAGCCGGATCGATCAGAAAGAAAATGAAAGCAATGACCCACCCTTACTCTCATCTTCTTTTACGGAAATAACAAACAACTCATCTCCATCCCTGGCCACAGTCCCAATAGCCCATTCCAAAGCATACCTACTCTCATCACTCAGATCACTTAAAACAACATATCTTCTCAACCTCTTCCCACTCTTTTCCAATGCTCCATCAGGATCACCTTGAGTCAAAGTCATCGTACATCTATCCCTTGCGAAAGCTGGTAGACCAGTAACCAACTCCATACCTGATTTCAAAGATTTCTGTCTTTTGGCAGTAGCGGCTTGATGAACTGGGAATAATGATGGAGGTGGTACGATAACATTTGGTCCTTCTCCTAATAGATCTTGTTCGATTTCTTCACCAAAATTATCAAACACACTTCTATTATCTGAATCTTGTGCAGGAGGTAAACCTTCTATCTCTACCCCATCTTCATCCGCAGCCACACCTGGAATGAAGAAAGCGTTAGCTTTTGTATTCGCCATTGTTTTCTCATCGAATATATCCACGTCGTCCAATGCGTCGAACTCTACTTCTCCGGGGGTTTCCTCATCTTCACTATCGGAGGAATCTTGATCTTGTATGACAACACCGGGTTCATCACCGTCAAAAGCTGATGCTTGAGGACGGAATTTACCTACGGCGACGACTGATTCACCGTCACTTTCAGCGTCTTTGTCATTGGGTAACGCTCCGATGTGAGGACTTTGATCTCTTTCCCTGGCTTTATCTCGTCGACTTCTAGCTCGGAAGAAAGGACTAGGTGCACGGGCTTGTCTCCCACGTTCTTCTTTCTCCGTCCTGGGAGTACTTCCGATGGGTTTTGAAGGAAGAAGGATTGATGGTTTAGGGGTTTTGATGGTTGGTAGAGGATCAGTCGGTTTAGGAGGAGTGATAGGTCTAGATGAAGGAGTGGCAGATCCTAGACTTGAACTTTTTAATCCTATCGCAGCTAGTGCGGCGCCAGTTGCAGAAGGTCGTTTGTTTTCTATCGATTTGGAGTCGGTCTTCTTCCGACTCATCGCTCCGATGATAAGGTGGGAAGTCTGATCATCGTAAGATGGTGTGAGGGGAGGAGGGTTAGGGAGGGAAGTTGGATTGAGAAGTGGTGTGGGGGTGGTGGAAGAAGTAGAAGAATCCTGTGTCAGCGTTCTTTCTATAGTCAATCCAAGTGAATCTGGCTTTTCGATTTTGTCTGCTACATCTTGATCTTTCTCCTTGTCTTTTTGATTCGAAAAATCAACAGATTTGCGAGTCCGAGTGACAAAAGCGCGTAATGATCCCCTACGGGATTTCTTGGCAGGCAAGTTGATGTCGGATTTGATCTCCTCAGCAGGACTGTCGACTACGTTGGCGGCTGGGTCATTCAGGTTGGCTGAGTGAGAGACTTTGATTCCTTCAGGGACGGATTGGAGTGGTGCAAGGGGGGAAGAAACACGTCTCAAGCTTCCAGAGCTCACCTAGGGGTTAGTGTGAGAACATTGACCGCTGTTTTAGGCAGGATGGTTGATGTGGGTAGTGAGTTGTGGTGAGTGAGGTTCGAGGTGTGAGGTGTGAGGTGTAAGGAGCTCGACGATGGGTTGGGGCAGTGTGGTGGTTGATTGTGAGAGAGCACAGGTTGGAGGATGTAGGTATGCAAGGGCTGCAAAGGTTACATGGGTTGAAGAGTCCAGTGGAGGAGCTAGAAGCGAAGGATGACGTATGAAGAGAAAGACCCCACTCACCTCATCTTTACCCGCCGCCCCGGAGAAAACTTTCAGTCGGGAGACACGATCGGGCAGTGAGACGGGAAGAGAGAAAGATCGGTTCATGGGTGCCATCGTGGAAGTGTGAGTTTGAAGGTGAATCCGATTAAATCCGTTGAGTTCGTAGAGGTTGTTGCAAGGGTAGTAATGTCGGATCAAAGAGTGAGGTTGTTGTGAGAGGATTGGAAGAGTACGTGGGATGTGTATAGAGGACAAAGGAGGGGGTATGATTAGCTTTCGTCTTATTTTCACTTCGTCTATTGACTTTCGGTCGGGCCAGTATGACAATGACTTATGTTTTCGACAGTCTATAATGTCTAAAGCAGTCTATGTTGATTTTGGTGGATCCGGAGGTCGGGATAGTACGAGTAATTATCAAAAGAAAGTAAAAGGCAGATGTCAGGGGAGAAGGCTAGAAGGACGGACATGGGTGTGATGAGGAACAAGGGGGCAAGAGGGGTGTGTCCTTTGGTCAATGGCAAGGGATCATCTTGTATGATCGGATCAAATCTCAACGGATCTGTACTACCTCTTGGCGTAGAAGCTGGGCCATGACGGAAAGAGAGTTTATTCGTATTCGTTTGAGAAAAAAAGAAGAAGAAGAGTGCTCACTATAATCTGCTGCTCTTTCAACATCATTGTTAGTTTTCTATCAATCAGTTTCACTTCATATATTTACTTCAGTCCAGACTCAAACAGATACTCGAATGGTGAGTATATAAAGATGTAGGAGAGCTT